AACAGATGGGTTGAGGCCAGACGATGCAAAGGTGGCCAGCATTTGTGTCTGGCCCAGACCTCAGACTGTTACTGAGGTCAGATCGTTTTTGGGGATGACGGGCTATTATCGTTCGTTTGTGAAGAACTATAGTACTATAGCTTCCCGATTAACAAATCTAACTCGACTTGACACCCCTTGGGAATGGACAGAAGAGTGTGAGGCAGCCTTCAAGAAATTGAAGTATGCTCTAACACACTATGAAGTCCTCAAGCTCACGGATCTTGATCAGCCCTTTGTCGTGACCAGAGACGCCAGCCAATATGGCATAGGCGCGGTCCTTGCGCAAAGGGAGGGGAAAAAGTTAAAACCTATCGAGTATATGAGTAAAAAGATGCCATCTCAGAAACTAGCCAGGTCCACTTATGAGCGTGAGCTCTATGCCTTGTACAGAGTGCTGGTTCATTGGAGACACCATCTCCTTGGCAGATTCTTTTATGTAAGATCTGACCATGAGACCTTGCGCTGGATCAAGACACAACCGGTACTCTCTGATGCACTCAAGAGGTGGATTCAAGTAATAGACATGTATGACTATCAGCTTGACCCAATCAAGGGAGAGTACAACAAGGTGGCTGACGCATTATCACGTAGGGCAGATTATCTGGGGGCCTTAGTAACCGAGTTTGGCATATCTGATGAACTCACTCGATCACTGTTGGAAGCCTATCAGCAAGATCCAGTTATGTTTGAGATCATTCGTAGATTTCGTGCGAAAGATAAAGTAACTTCCAACGAATTCACAATGGTAAATGACTTGTTGTTTCTTGAGAAGGCTGGGAAAAAAAGGTTGTGTGTTCCTGATAGTGAGTCTTTACGTAGTTTGTTTTTAGGAGAATGTCATGATGCAACTGGTCATTTTGGCTATGGAAAGACATCCGCGAACTTAGTACAGAGATTTTGGTGGCCCTCTATGATGCAAGATGCTAAGAAATACGTTGAAACGTGCCAGGTTTGCCAGAGGGACAAACCCAGGACTCAGGCTCCGCTTGGGTTGATTAAGCCCTTGCCGATTCCTGAAGGACCGGGTCAGAGTGTGTCCATGGACTTCATGGATACTCTTGTGACCAACAAGTCTAGGAAAATACACATCTTTGTTATAGTGGATCACTTTTCTAAGTATGCCAGACTAATCGCTATGCCAGGAAATGCTAAAACTGACTACGTCATCAAACTCTTTATGGATAACTGGGTACGTGACTTCGGTTTGCCTACATCTATTGTTATAGTGACAAAGATGTGAGATTCACCAGTGAACTGTGGCAATCAACTGCTGAAAAGATGGGCACAAAGCTCCAAATGACATCATGGAATCACCCTGAGTCAAATGGCCAAGCAGAACAGATGAATCGAGTAGTACATCACCTGCTGAGACATTATATCAAGCCAAGTCAGGACGACTGGGACGAGAAACTACCTCTCGTCGCCAGCTTGTATAACAACGATGTGCACAGTACTACAGGAATGCGTCCCAACCATCTGCACCTTGGTTGGAAACCCAAAACTGCACTTGACTTTCTACTACTAGAAAGAGAAACCACTGCAGCACCTGGCAACATAGAGTTTGCTGTCAAATATGAACAGATGCTGCAGCAGGCCATTGAACATATTAGGAAATCTCAGGATGCAATGATCGCATTTGAGAATAAGCACAGACGACCCTCTTAACTTTTAGGTAGGTGATAGAGTCTGGGCTAAGTCATCTGAACTAGGTCAGGAGTTAGGCATTTCACGTAAACTAATGCCACAGTACTTTGGGCCCTGGGAGATCTTAGACATTGTAGGGGATCAACCGGATGGGCCTTCATACGTGATTCGCATTCCTGTGCACTTACGTACCTACCCTGTGTTCCATGCCTCCAAGTTGTCACCTTTCGTTGCCACTGATCAGTTTCCCTCAAGAAGATCAATGCTGCCCCTAACCATGGATGACGAAGTGGACATTGACCAGATCGTGGAGCATCAAGTGATGCCAGTACCTCGACCATCAGGTAGAGGCCGCCGTCCTAAACCAAGAATGCAGTATCGTGTGAGATTCATACATCATCTGGATCCTAAAGAAGATCGCTGGTTCACACGAGAGGAACTCATGAGAACGGCACCTCAAGTGATTGCAGGCTACGAAAGAGAACTCAAAGGGAAGATGCCTACAAAGTAACAGACTTCTCAGAGGACTAACGAAGTAAAGGAGGAGGGAATGCGAGGATCTGGGTCCTCGGCAGGCCTGAGGGGCCCCTGTTGCAAGAGTGCCCGCCCTAAGTGAAGGCGGGCCTAACATATCAGAAGGGGCCCTCGACTGTCAAATTCATATTTGGGGTCCAGGCAGTTGCGACGCGCCAGTTGGTTGAGAGAAACACAGGCCGAGCAACAAAGACATTTCTACGGCCTTCTGGGCCTTTCCAAAGAATGCAGGCCCTGGGCCAGAATCGCAGCATCATACACTGACAATTGGGACTCGGGAGGCCCAACCGCAAGAGGCCCAGTAGCTGCACACAAGCGCAGCATCCTGGGGCCTACCGGAAGCTTCTGGGCCCAGGCCCAGCCCAGCCAGGCTGCGCGAGCAGGCCAGCTCTTTCCATATAGGAAAGAGCTCTCCCCGTCCAGGGGCATTCAGGCACTCGCATGCTAGCGGCAGCGCTGCTGGAGCAAAGGCTCGTGGGCTGCTGCTGGCGCTGAGAGGCGAGGTGCAGCACGTGCGGTCGTGCAGGGAAGAAGGGCGCTGCTGAGGGCAGCACCATAGCCCAGCCACCATAGCTGGCGGGCTTGGACTACAGTGAGGCGCATGAGTGGTTTTTGGGTGTAAGGGAGGAAGATGTGGGTGTAAAGTCAGGGAAGGGTGAAGGATGATGATGATGATGATGTGAGTGCACATACCTTGTATTGGCGATGGTCTGCATTGGGTGACATCTTCAAGTACTTCGGGTTGCCGCTGATGTCAACAGTGGCATTGTCAATTAGTAGGCTGATAATAGCTGTGTAGGAGTAGGCTGGGCGCTGAGCGCCAAATAGGAGAGTGAAGGGACTGGACTGTTGGTGTGGAGAGAGAAAGCTCTCCTTGACATTGGTTTTCAGTACTACGAACCTCCTTTGGTGTATTATTGGTGCAATGCTGCTCTCTGGACATGGTGTGACTATCAAGCTTTCAATGTGATTGTGTAATCTGGATTTGTCATCTCGCTGTTGCTCACAGCGCCTGACAAGGTGATGAAGATGGTGTCCACCATAGCCAGGTAGGTACCTCGCCACTCTCCTCCTTGGTCCCCTTCTCCCTCCTCCTCCTACCGGTAGAGCTCCAACATAGCCAAGGTGGAAGCTCCCGGCTTCTTCCTCCCAGCAGTGCTGTAGTACCCAGCGCTACTCCAGCCAGCGCTCCAGCAGCGTGTTGCCAAACTTGCACACTGAAGAATGAGGCCGAGCTCTTGCCTCGGCCTCTTGATATTGCGGCCTGCTTGTCTCCTGGGCGGTGACTTCCAGGCCGCTCGGCCTCCCAAGCAACCGGTACCTCCTCCCTTTCGGAGGGAAACATCATTGCAGACTCTGATATTGCCCGTACAGACTCTAGACTCAGACTGGATGGACTGGTACCGGCCTAGACCTAGCCTACCGCTACTGGGCTTCTAAAAATGCCAACTTCGTCTTCTTCTGCTCGGCCTCGAGTACTTGGCACATCTACTGCTACTGGGTGCGGTACCGGCGTACCTGCTACTTGAGTGTTTTTTCGCTGCTCTAAGTGCCGTGGGCCTCTGGCTCCGCCACTTGAGTGTTTTCCCCTGCTGCAACCCTCAATGCCACGGCCACAGGTAAGTACCAGCCCTACGGGCCTGCCAAACAAGCAAGTACCCTTGTGGGTCACACACACACTCGTGCCGACAAGCACTCAGACAGGCACGCAAGACAACAGGCACGCACACAGACAGACTTAGAAAACACAGCAGAATGCGGGAATCTGAGCAAGGCATCCATTCCATCGACAGAACTTCAGAAATCAGCAGTGTTCTCAGTCTGTGTTATGGCGGGTCATTACACAAGCGTAAAACTGATTGTGTGTGTTGTTTGTGCGTGATGCCTGTGATGTCTGTGGAGCAGACTTTGCCAAGCGATGGGAGGAGCAGAGAAGGTTGCGATTGAAGGTGGCCTCCATGATCTATCCAACCGTGTTGCTGAGGCCGTTAAGGCAATGGTGGAGTTTATAAAGACGGAAGGGTGCAAAGGATGGGATGATCCATGGAGCTAGCTCTTTGCATGACATTATAGCGTGTGTGGAAATGGAGTGGATGCAACTAGGGAGAGCGAGACAGACAGAGATTGTGTGCAGAAAAGAAGTTGCTATCGCTTTGCCTTGATTTGCAAACAGCGGCTGGGAAGGGGGTGATTGAGCTCGTCAGTTGGTAGTTTTTTATTCAGCAATAATTGAGGATATGTGCAGATGAGAAGGCAGGTAATGTGAGTTTAATAGTGAGTTCTCTGTGTGCCCATCTCGATATGAAGTCATTTTTCTGTGTATGCGACACGCTCGCTGATCAGCTCACCATAACCAGAAATTTTATTTTGTTCTTTTGCTGTATGCAAAAACACGAATCACGGCAAGGTGCGCTCAGTATGCGATTAAACTCATACGAGGACATAGAGCAATCCGCATCATATGGTAAATACAAAAGGCACATATCCCATAGAAGAAAACACAAAAATGTGCATGCAGCGGCCTCTATCTTTCGCCAGCCCTACCAAGGCACAAGGATTAGAGCCCGAGGGCACTAAGCCATGAGCCACAAGCAGCAGTCCAATAGAACAAGGCAACTGACAGCCAGCAACAACGCACACAATGAATCAGCAAGGCAAATAACGACATTACGTCACACAGGCTGGGGGGCACGGGGCAGGCGGGTGGGCTAACAAACAGAACACAGTAATTACTAGGAGAAGGCAGATGAAAGACAGCGAAGGAGAAGGCATGCGGCAAATCAAGGCATGTGATGCCATGGAACGACAAAGGGCAAAGGCTGGAGGGCAAGGGGAGGCGGGTGGACACACAATGGTATAGGACAACGGGCTGGATGGCACACGATGCAAGAACATGAAACAGGCAAACCAGAAAAATGAAGGACCGAAAAATATAAAAACTGATGATAACAAGATTGTTTTGTCGGAGTTGCCCCGACTCATCAGGAGGCTGAACCCTCGACCATCTTCGGAGTCTCCGTATTGGATGGCTTGGGACATGAGCTGTTGCATACCGTAACGGTGCAGACCACAACAAGAACCAACCTCTCTCACATAGTACAGGATAGCGCAGCTGAAGGCTAAAATACCAATGATCAGACCAATCAATGTCGCAATGCAGACCAAACATACATCATCATCACCCCATGGTGTGAAGGGGGCCTGGCGCTCTCACAGGAAGAATGCGCCAGTCCCCAACCCTACACAGACGAAGAGGAGGGGGATTAGACGAAGAAGAGGGGGAAGATGGGAATGTCGTCAACACCAAGTCTTCGGTACAGGTCCCAAATAATCCCTCGTCCAATGTCTCAATCCCAATGTCGAGTCTGAATCCAAATGTCGTCAAGTCCCAAAGTCACCAATCTCTCTCTCTCTCTCTCGTAGTCTGCAGATACCGAGAAGTCAGGTGGCGAGAGGGTGAGGGAGAGATGGTGAACTTAGAGGAAGAAGAAGAAGAACTCTCTCGCTCTCCCTCTTGTACCAAGTACTAACCTGTGAAGGTGGCGCCTTGTTGCAGGTACATCGAAGACGAAGCTGGAGCTATGGCGCCACAGGTAAGTCTCCCTGGCCTCCGCCCTTCTCACTCTCTCCCAACGCTACTCTACCTCCTAGCAGCGCCCAGCGCTGAAGACTACTCTAGCGCTACCTACTACTACTGCAGCGCTCCTCCAGAGTGCTGCGGCCAACTCTTGAGGACTGCCTCCTGCCTCCTGCGCGTGAAGTGCACGTGAACTGCTTGGGAAGTCCCCGTGAACTACCTGCAGCCTGCAGGGCGGGCCAGTACTACATAGTGCTGGCCCGTCCGGGAGGCTGCTCTTGCCAATGCCGAAATGTGCCAGATCCTGGCGTTGAAGTTCAAACAAAGGTTGTCTTGAAACAGGCCCAAAAATGGCCTGCACTAAACCCTGGTCTTGGGCCATTATGTCACGCCGCAAGGCATCCGTCCGCTCGCGGACAAGATCGAGGCCATCCGCGTATGGCCCGAGCCCACTAACACCACAGACGTTCTCGCTCATTCATGGGGTTGGCAGGCTACTATCAACGCTTCATCACCGGGTACTCAAGGATTGCCGCACCATTGACGAGATTACAATCGCCAAAGGTGCCATTCGTATTCGACGATGAAGCACGCCGGTCATTCCAAGCACTCAAGACAGCCATGCTCATGGCACCCATCCTTAAGCATATACGACCTTTCCAACGCGAGTGACGACTGACGCTTCCGGCTATGGCATTGGGGCAGTCTTGGAACAACACGACGGCGACGACTGGCATCCCGTGGAGTATTTCAGCCACAAGGTGACTCCCATCAACTCACTTGATGATGCAAGGAAGGAGCTGCTCGAGTTCGTGATGGCTCTCAAGCGATGGCGACACTTCCTCCTTGGGCGTCGTAGGTTCACATGGGTCGCTGATAACAACCCATTGACCTACTACAAGACGCAGGATAGCAGCACTATCAGACGATGGATGTACTTCATCGACCAATTTGACTTCAGGCCGAAACATCTCGCCGGCCTCTCCAATCGCGCAGCTGATGCACTCTCGCGAAGATCGGATCTTTGCGCTATGACACATCATCCCTTCGCATTCGACGAGGAACTCCAGCGACACTTCATTCGGGGCTATAAGTTTGATCCGAATTTCGCCACGTTATATGCACAACTATCTTCGGATCACCCGTCGACCAGCAATTATCGCATCATCGACGAGTGCTTGCTTCTCCACTCGCGAGGCAAGGACTCACTCTGTGTCCCATGAGACCTTCGTTTTCAGACTCGCCTTCTCGGTGATTACCACGACTCGCGACTCGCCGGCCATTTCGAAGTCAATCGGACTATCACACGACTTCGGCAACGATTCCGGTGGCCCGACCTCATTACCGATGTCACTCGGTATTGCAACTCTTGCGAAGTTTGTCGGTGAAGCAAGCCCTGCAACCGCAATCCCTACGGCCAGTTGCGCCCGTTACCTATTCCACAAGAACCAGGCCTCTCCATTGCCATGGACGTCATCGGCCTGTTTCCCCACGACTGCTTCGGGCACGACGACATCCTCACGGTCGTTGACGGATTGAGTAAATACGCGTGATTTCTCCCTTGCAAGTACTACACCACAGCTGCCGAACTTGCGCGCCTTTTGCACACCGGCTGGATTTGCAGCCACGGCGTACCGGAAGACATTAGCGACTGCGACACTCGTTTTATGTCGGCATTCTGGACTTCTATCATGCAAGAATCCGACACCAAGATGAAACCAAGTTTGGCTCGGCATCCACAAACGGACGGGCAAACGGAGAGCACATCAGACTGCTCAGATGATGCTTCGTACGCTCATCCGTCCGGATCAGAAGGATTGGGTTGACCGCCTCCCCGACATCGAGTTCGCCTACAAAACTTCGTTGCACCCGGGCGATCGGCGTGACTTCGTTGGTCTTCTCCTTCCACGAACTGCCGACATAGATGCCGCTTGCTCTCCCGCCTCCATCCGGAACTACAGGGAATTGTTGGCTCAAGTCCGCATCCAGCAGCAAGCCAACAGGAGTCGCATGCCATGTCCCATCCGCGCCGGTGATCTGGTTTGGATCTCCGCGGAAGAGTTTGCGCTCAAACAGGATGTTTCGTGCAAAGTACTCCCCAAGTGGTTTGGACCATGGACCGTCCTTTCAGCCACAGGCGATGAGCCCGACGGCCCATCCTTTGTGATCGACATCCCTCCGCATCTGCCGATCCATCCCGTCTTTCACGCCTCGAAGCTGGTGACATACACATCAGCTAAGAGCGACGACTTCCCGGGCCGACGATGGCAAGACCCTCCGTCTATGGATGGTCATCAGGAAGACGACTGCGTCATCACGGGTCGCAAGTACGAAAACAAGCCTCGACAATACAAAGTTACCTTCAAAGCATGCGACCCTGACAACACTCGATGGATTTCAGGAGCAGATTTGCAAGCATCCACACCGCTGATCTACGCTCACTACAAATGGCAAAGGTTAGCTCAGGAAGCTTAACGACCGGCCCCTCCCACCCAGACTTTGGTCCCTCCCTCCGATAGGCAGCTTCGCCCTCGCAGGTAAGCTCGGTCTTTCAAGGAGGGGGGGGGGGTGGCATACTGCGCATCCACACAGGCCTGCAGGGCCCGACCAAACGGAAAATAAGGGCCCTCCAGGCCCTGGGTCGTTACAGCCTAAAAGCATGAAAAAGAGGGTCATTTTCAGGCCCTCATAAAGTCGACCTACCCTAAAACTTGGCTCCACATGCTCGTCCAAACTTCGGCTGTACACCAAGATATCGTCGAGGTAGACAAGTACAAATCTATCAGCATGTGTCGGAACTCCGTTGTCATAGCCGCTTGGAACGTGGCCGGGGCATTCGTAAGGCCAAAAGGCATAACCAGCCATTCGAAATGCCCATATCGCGTCTTAAACGCGGTCTGGTAGTGGTCCTCCTGCCGGATCTTGAGTTGGTGATATCCCGATTTGAGGTCAAGCTTGGAGAAGAACTTAGGGTCGCCGAGCCGTTCGAGATGGTCGTCGATGCACGGAAGAGGGCCAGCGTTCTTGACGGTTTGTGCGTTGAGCTTGCGATAATCGATGCACAACGGCAAGTGCTTTGTCTTCTTCCGGACGAAGAGAATGGGAGCACCGTATGGCGAGGAGCTAGGCCGAATCCAGCCTTTCTCAAGAAGGTCGTCGAATTGTGCCCTTAGCACACTTAACTCGCTCATGCGGTAGATGCAACCACGTGGAGGTGCGGCCCCGGCCTCGAGGATGATCTCGTGGCGGATGGGCCGATCCGGTACTACTCTGTGTGGGGCTTCGAACACGTCGCCGTAGGTGTCGAGAAGCTCGGTGATGCGTGGATTCATTGATGGGTCTGTCGATGGGCTGTCATGGGGAGGGAGGGCGTGGAGAAAACACACACCCATCTCCTCGATGTCGTCCCTGGTGATGGAAGCTCGAATGCTTGCGGCAGACACCACGTGACAGCTGATCGAAGGGTGAGGTGAAGGCACCGTGCATGGGACTAGTACTCCGTTCCGATCACGAACGTGAACGATACGGCGGTAGAAGTTCACCGGGTGATCCTCGCTTCGCAGCCATGACATGCCCAAAATCATGTCGAACTGGGTGTCCAAAATGTCGAAGGACATGGCCTCACTTGCATGCGAGGCGAAGTACACGGGGACGGAATGAATGCACCGGTCGATTGACTTCTGCGTTTGACCATAGACCAACGTGACTTGCGTGGGCTGCGACTTCCTCCGAACGCGTGGCCCCAGGCCAGCGCGTACCATGAAGTCTTGGCTCATATAGTTGCGAGTAGCTCCGCAATCGATTAAAGCGTTGCAGGTCGCCTCTCTGATCTGAATGTGTATGTACAACAATGGCACGTCGATGTCGTCATACCGTTGTGTCTTGAACTCGCGGTCGATCTTCGCAACGTGGTCATGAAGGTCTACAACATCTACTCCGGCGTCCATCAACGGAGCTGGTACTGCACTGTGCAAGTAATCCCGCAATTGTGTCATGAGCACATTGCAATGCGGTTTCGACAATCGAACGGTCGGGGGAAGGGGCATCCATTGGAAGTCCGCGAACGTCAACGGGTCGAGTCTCTCAAGTCTTGACCATGACGTCGAATCCCCGGCGATAGTTGGCGGTGAAGCTGCCGAATCGGTTGCCGATGGTGGTGAAACTGTGCATGAGGTGGATTGTTGCACGTGGAGTGGCTGGTCTAACGGTGGGACCAAGTGGACAACGTAATCCTCGTAAGTGAACCGAGGACTCGCGACATCCACATTCTCCCCCAGACGTGTAGGAGGCCGCTGGCAAGGCGGCCGAATCTGGCGGAGTGAGAGGTGGAGTCGCCTCACCTCCCGCGCAACTCAGTTTCCCGAGCTGATTCGAGGTCGAACATCCTCCTTGGCTTGATCTTGGCCGTGGGAGGTCTTGTGCTTGGTGCTGTTGCACCAATAGCAGCAGCCGTATCGGTTGTGGTACTTGTATTCGGCCTCGCTCAAGTTGAACTTGACCCGTGGTACTGGCTGTCCAATGCCGGCCGGCGATGCGGTTTTCGCCTTCCCTTTTCCATGGGAGTTGTTGTTTCTTCGCGGCTGGACAGTGGCCACCTGATTTCCCTCACGTGATGCTGGGGTGGCTGCCGGGTCTTCCACATTGTTGTCCAGTTGGACTGCAGCGACGGGCTACGGACGCGGACCAAATCTTCCTTTCTCCACATGGGTTGGCTGCCACGCTGACTTCTCGTGTGCAGTAGTCCGGTTGGTCTTAATGATCTCACGCGCCTTGTCGATGATTTCGGCGAAGGTCGTGTACTGTTCTCGATCACCGAGTGAACTCCCGACTCAGATGCGGAAATGGTAAGTCGAGATCGGGTGTTGCCATGATCTTTTGCCATTCTGTGAGCCAGTCGCGTTTCGGTGTGTTGCGTTGAGTCATGGTGAAGAGGCGATTGATGGCGAGCGTCGGGGGTCGTCAACTATGAACCGCTTCTTCCATTGTCTTGTCAGATCTTCCCAAGAGATCTTCTTGTGTAGATCGGTGACCTGGACGCCGTGGATGGTTGCCAGGTGGCTGAGCCAGATCTGGCATCCGCCCTTTGAGTTGAGGAACAGCACCCCGATGTACGAGTGCTCGGGGGCGTGATGAATCCGAAGTTCCGTCATAAAGCCCTGCCACTAGAGGACCGGGTCTTGATGCGTATAATCATCAAACTTTTCAATTCGGAATGTCGGCATCTTGTACTGCAGCGCACTGGTGTTGCCATCTTTGTCGGGCAGCTGGTGCAGTTGCTGCACCTCGGTCTTCAAGGTGTCCAGCTGCTCGCTGATGGTGACTGGTGCAGTGAAGGTGCTGATGTCGCCGAGCATTGCGACTACATGGTCAACTCGTTGCTCCAACTGGCGGGTAGAGGCTGCATTGCTGGATTCGCCAGCATCGGTTCCTGGTGCTGCTTGCTCCAAGTCCTATACAGGGGAATCAAGTGCCAGTGTAGCATCCTCGTGCAGACCGTTGTGGTTCCGCACTGCCCGTCGGAGATTCACCAACTTGGACTGCAGGTGGTTACAAGTGTAAGCCAAACAGGCCATGAGTTTGGAGAGAAACTCCTTGTGCTGCTCTTCCGGTGTCGCGTCTTCATGGCTCTCACATGGTTCAAAATGCCAGAACTTGAGCTTGTCGACGCTGGCAGCTTCGTGGCGCTGCAGCAGATCCCGGGCCTCCTTGCGGCGGGCCTAGGCATCTGCGTCAGCTTCGGCCTGAAGCAGCTGCTTTTCAGCTGCTGCCTCCGCTTCAGCCTGTAGGCGGGAAGCCTCGGCTGCCGCCCAGTGCTGTTTCTCAGCCTCGATCAGTGCGAGCTGAGCTTGGAACCGTTGTCGGTACTCGGCACTGGACTCGTTGGCCAGTTGGCCTGGCACGCCCAAAGCTGAAACCGTCATAGTGGCGGGGCACTGCTGACATGGCACCGCTGACATGGCACCGCTGATGTGGCACTGCTGACATGGCACTGCTGATGTGGCACTGCTGATGTGGCACTGCTGTCATGGCACTGCTGACGTGGCACTGCTGATGTTGAACTGCTGACGTGGCACTGCTGATGTGGCACTGCTGCTGATGTGGCACTTACCAAACCGGGAATGCAGACAAAGGGGTGGGTGGGAGGGAAACGCAGGAACGTAACAAAACTGCACCTTCCATTCCTGGTCCTAATCAACAGAATAAAATAAAAAAATAAAAATAAAAGAAGAGGATCACCCCCCCCCATGGTAACCCCGGAGGACACCGGACACTTCCGGACTGTCTTCTGGACCAGTGTCTGGACCGGTCCGGACATTACCGGACACCCGGACATCACCGTACCCAGACAGTCTGGACCGGTACCAGGGGTGCACACATGTCCCGAAAAAAAA